CCTGGGCTGGAGCTGCACCTGAGGAGAGGGCATCTACAGCCCGTCTGCTGTTGCTGCTACTGCTGCTGCTGCTGCTGCCAGGGCTCTCCTCTGGCTCAGCGTCTACATCAGACTTCCTAAATGCACAACAGAAAAAGAGAAATGAAGCGTGAAATAACCACGAGCAAAGATAGTGGAAGAGATTACAAAGAGCTTCAGGACTTTTGAACCGCACACACATTTGATGGTTTTTGAGTCAATTTGCTGCTATCAACAAAACAAAAAGAGGTAAATCATTTAAATTTAATATGACAATCAATCTATTTTTTGTACAGAGCATTTCAGCAACAAGACAGTTCAAAGTGTTTCGCATCATAAAAATACAATAGTAAAAACATAAAACAGTCACCAATTGAAAAACCAATAACAAACATTGCATTTTGTCAAGTACCATCGTTAAAATTGTCAGCAGACATCAAATATGCTGATTCAGTGCTCCAGTGATTATGGGTTGATAGCAATGCTCAACAGGTGGGTTTTTAGCCCTGATTTAAAGGAACTTTGTGTTTCAGCTGTTTTGCATTTTTCTGGAAAGTTGTTCCAGATTTGTGGTGCATAAAAGCAGAATTCTGCTTCTCGATGTTTGATTCTGGTTCTGGGGTTGCAGAGAAGGTCAGAACTATTAGACCAGAGTGATTTGGAAAGTTGGGACATATAGGCAAACTATATGTGAATGCAACATATAATAAACAAATTACTTAAATATTGTGGATTTTTGTTTCATTGGGCAATCAATCACAATAAACAGTGCATTACATAATACATCATTCAGACAGAACATTATGTCTGCCCTTTAAGACAATTTTAACATTATATCTTCCAGGCCTGGTTTACCCATGTACCCTACAGGTACTTGAATTCTAACACTTTTCTGTCAGCATACTTCACTCCCTCAGCAATATCTACTGGATCAGACAACATGGGGCAACCTGCACTTCCCACATGCGTCAGTGAGCTGATTTTTAATAAGTACCAACCCCTGCAGACAAGGAAAATCCCAATAGAGGAACAGTTTTGAAGATGCTTTTCCCCAGTCATCTTATCACCACAACTGGGTTCTTATGAAGTTGGCTGAATTTTTTTTTAAGGAAAAGCCAATTTTCCTGCTTCTAGATTGTTTTTACTGATTGACTGTATTCCACCTTCTAAAAGGTGCCATAGTAATGAGAAAGTTGTGTTGTTAATGTCGCGTGTCAGTGGTCATAATGTGTTTGACGCCTTGAAAAAGAACATTTTTTCGAAATAAATCTTTTCTCTTTTTTCATATAAATGCAATTACATCAAATGTACAAAATGTGCTTTCAATGCTTCAGATAGGAATTCTTCATAAAAATAAAAATTAAAAGAAAATATATGTTCAAATAAAACCATTCCTTATAAATGTCCACTTGCATCTTGTCGATTCACTCTGTATCTACTGCTGCTTTCAGCACCACGGACAGTTTTCGAGCCGCTCCGATGATCACTCGTGATCTCTTTCCTGCAATGTAATAAAGCAGCGACGAAGGAGATCCTCAGCCCGCTACAACTGGCTCTCCTGCTGCAACCAGCACAGATTCGGATTGGGTTGTTAATCCCCTTCCGCAATCAAAGAATCCCAGTGATGTTGGTCTAAGAGAGAGAAATCTTTTGCAGAATATGTTTTATAACAACATAGGTAAATACGGGGAAATCTAAGAGTCTCTCTCTCTCTCTCTCTCTCTCTCTCTCTCTCTCTCTCTCTCTCTCTCTCTTCATGAAGAAACTGCAGGCACATCCGGGTAGGGACCCACCAAATCATGCATCTTACTAAATTCTTCTTTCTAAACTAAAAATGCAAATCTTAAAGGGGGTGCAGGTCCGCGCGGGGAAACGATCTCTAAGTGAGTGAACATATTTGCCTTTAGCCCAACGTTATGACTGCTTTGCTCTGCCCACAAGCATAGTCGGATTTATCACAGCAGATGATCTGTGTGGAGAACACAGCATTGCCTGACACAAGATCCTTCTGAACGAGAACACATCCACGACAGGTCCAAGAGTGAGAAAAACACCTTACCACGTAATGTTTATTTACGTCAACGATCAGACACCTGTTCAAATCGACAAATAATCTAAATTATCCTACTATGTGGGGGCATTTTAAACAACTAACCGAGTCCCTTGTCATCTTTTTAATTTCACAACATACCATCTGGTATCAAAGCCGTGTTGCCCCCCCTCCCCCTCCCTACCCGGTCCACCATCACCCTCTCATTCCCTCCCATCCTGCAGCCAAGCATCCTTCACCCTCCACGGTCACAATGTCAAACACTAAAACGCGGTGCCGTTCTGAGCGGAGCCCAGTGAAGGCGTACCTTCATCGGTCGCGGATCTGCTTCGCCATCCTCCTCAGTCCTCGTCGGATAACTCCCGTTCAGTGTCAGCCCGTCTAAGCAAGAGGGATGGAGGGCACAGGGCAGCAGCAGATTGAGAGCAAACAGAGCCCCACTCCGCCTTCCGCTCTAGTGCGCAGGCGCCGCATCTGACAGGTGATCACAATATATATCACGCACGGAAATCAGAATTAAAAGGGACAGGCGATTTATTCCCGCAGAGTCGCATTTGATCAATAGTGAAAAGCTGAAGGTGATGTGGTTCAAATTTATTTGCTTCTTTTTTTTTTTTTTTTTGAGGTTGTGGACACATTTTGAAAAATCACGATGTTCGTGAGTCATTGAGGGATGATGTCGAGCCACGAGAGCAACCAGAAACATTAACGTCATTTAGAAACCCGTTTTTGTTGGTTTATTAAAAGGTATATTTTGCCTAGTTTTAGTCAGGAGGTTAAAGCTAAAATATATTATACACTGTTTTCCAAAGTAGATTTCAAAGCCATTTTTTGTATTGACCCTGTACTCACTCAGTGAGGGAGTACCATACACACCACATATAGTGTTATATGTGGTGTGTATTTCTGTTTAAAATATTGTGGAGGTCAGCAGAAAAAGATAAAAATATAATTTGCGTCTTGTTTGTAACGACAGAAGAAAATTCTGTGTTATTCAATATATTCACCATTGCTAACACGGAGTGTAACAGCCCAGCCAGCACACCTAGGTGGGCCCCATATGGGATATAAGTGGGCAGGCAATATGGGTCCCAAAAGGGTTTGTCCACGGTTTCCATGGTGGCCCCACATGGGTTTGCCCAAGTAGATTTCAATGGGTGCTAACTGGGTTTTCAGTGGGTCCCACATGGTTAACTTACATGAGGCCCATCTGTGGCCCACTAGGGTGCTGTCAAGAATATTTACGTGGGTCCCAATTGGGTCTGAACTGGGCTAGAATATGGGTACCAAGTGGGTTTGTCCACGGTTTCCATGGTGGCCCCACATGGGTTTGCCCAAGTAGATTTCAATGGGGTGCTAACTGGGTTTTCAGTGGGTCCCACATGGTTAACTTACATGAGGCCCATCTGTGGCCCACTAGGGTGCTGTCAAGAATATTTACGTGGGTCCCAATTGGGTCTGAACTGGGCTAGAATATGGGTACCAAGTGGGTTTGTCCACGGTTTCCATGGTGGCCCCACATGGGTTTGCCCAAGTAAATTTTTATGGGTGCTAACTGGGTTTTCAGTGGGGCCCATGTGGTTAACTCACATGAGGCCCATCTGTGGCCCACTAGGGTGCTGTCAGGAATATTTACCTGGGTCCCAATTGGGTCTGAACTGGGCTAGAATATGGGTACCAAGTGGGTTTGTCCACGGTTTCCATGGTGGCCCCACATGGGTTTGCCCAGGTTGATTTCAATGGGTGCTGACTGGGTTTTCAGTGGGTCCCACATGGTTAACTCACATGAGGCCCATCTGTGGCCCACTAGGGTGCTGTCAAGAACATTTACGTGGGTCCCTATTGGGTCTGAACTGGGCTAGAATATGGGTACCAAGTGGGTTTGTCCACGGTTTCCATGGTGGCCCCACATGGGTTTGCCCAAGTAAATTTTTATGGGTGCTAACTGGGTTTTCAGTGGGGCCCATGTGGTTAACTTACATGAGGCTCATCTGTGGCCCACTAGGGTGCTGTCAAGAATATTTACGTGGGTCCCTATTGGTCTGAACTGGGCTAGAATATGGGTACCAAGTGGGTTTGTCCACGGTTTCCATGGTGGCCCCACATGGGTTTGCCCAAGTAAATTTTTATGGGTGCTAACTGGGTTTTCAGTGGGTCCCACATGGTTAACTTACATGAGGCTCATCTGTGGCCCACTAGGGTGCTGTCAAGAATATTTACCTGGGTCCCAATTGGGTCTGAACTGGGCTAGAATATGGGTACCAAGTGGGTTTGTCCACGGTTTCCATGGTGGCCCCACATGGGTTTGCCCAGGTTGATTTCAATGGGTGCTAACTGGGCTTTCAGTAGGGCCCATGTGGTTAACTCACATGGTGGCCCCACATGGGCCCACCCTAGTGGGCCCATCTGTGGCCCTCTAGGGTGCTGTCAGGAATATTTACCTGGGTCCCAATTGGGTCTGAACTGGGCTAGAATATGGGTAACAAGTGGGTTTGTCCACGGTTTCCATGGTGGCCCCACATGGGTTTGCCCAGGTTGATTTCAATGGGTGCTGACTGGGCTTTCAGCGGGACCCAGATGCCTTAATCCTGTAGGAACAATTTCATCTAACCTGGATGTGAATTACATTCATAGATATGCAATCTTGATCAACAATCCAAAGTCCAGCTTAAAAACGTGTTCAAATAAAAAATAAAAAAAAAAGAGATGAAAAATTTATTTTGCTCAAGGCTTTTATTTAGTAATTTAAAATATTGTCAGGAGTTATTTTTTACCTCACTACAGCAATTATTAGAACTTCATTAATACTCAGGGAATGGTGCCACAAAAAGAAATCTGCAATTGTCATTGAAAATAACAGAAGCTAGTTTACTATAAACTTATAAACAGATCTATAAATATATATCAATAGATGCACACAAATAAAGACACCTACATATTTTCCTACAGGTCTATAAATGTATACATCTAAATACTATCTATATAACTTTATACACGTATATTCACATTGATACACACAATGTGAATATACACACCTATATAGATCTTTCACAATACATTTTTGTTAAACATTTTTAAAAATAACCTACATGCCATATGCATGCTTAAATTTGAAATCTCTCATACTTTACTGAAACTGTCCATCTTGAAAGACCTCCCCAACCTGAGTTTGAACTGGCAGTCTCTCTAGTCTATTTCCACTTCCACTCGGGCTCCAGTAAACCACTTCGAGTCTTTGCTGTATGCTTGTGTGATTCTGTAGATGGATAATTTCTTTTAAGTCCCCTGAAATAACAAGCAAAGGTAGAAATTGTATTAGTGTTTCATTTTAGCACAATGTAACATTCATGAGATTTGCATCTCCCCCTTCATGGGGCAAAAATGCTTGCAGAAATATGCCATAATCAAAAGGACTCTTGAGTCATCATTATTATGTACAGAAACTATATTCTTACTGTAAATTTAAAATATATCCATCTATATAAATCAACTACTAGGTTCTATCGTGGTTTTGTGGTTATTTTAATATTGTTTGAAATGCAAACAATATTACCTTCAAATTTTTAAGTTCTTAACAACAGTGAAAGAATACTGTTCAAATAAAACCAAAAATTGAAGACTCAATTTTTAACCTAAAAACATTACTAAAAATAACAAACAAAAGCATAAAACAACCAAAATAAATTAACATATGTTTAAGAAAGAAAAGTGAAAAAAAAAAAGTTACTCTGACAATAAAAACTGATATTTACCATACAAAACATCAAAGAGACGCAGGTCCAAGAGCTTGTTTCCAATGTTGGCCAAAAAGGTTGAACTGGACTTCCAGTTCATGGGACATGAGGAATCGCACAGCTGGTTGTATTGTGTCATCTAAGGATGCTCCTCCAATTTCTGTAGCCATGGCAACCTTAAGTACAATGACAATAACAGGACAACATTTTGTTTTTGTTCATCAGTTTGTCATTATATCACTCTTATGTGCTTAATTTTACTAACATATTAATCTACCTTTTTCAAATCATTATAAAGTGATCTTCACACGCTGATCCTCTTGAAGCCTGCAAAAATATATTTTATTAGTGCAATATAACATTTAGACTTTTCAAAAAAATAAAAAAATTAAGGCAAAACAGCCTTTGTATAGATTAACTACTGAAGCCTTATATTGTAAACACTGAACAGTTTTGCAATTATCCTAATTTCTTTGTTAACGTGACAGGACTAAGACAGTAGTATTACTCTTAAGAGAAGTTTAGAAAATCACTATAAATGTAACTAATAAAGCCTAAAACATTGTACATATAAAAAAATTAGAGCTACAATTAAATATAAGTACATTCACATAACTGCTAGCTAAATATTGCAAAAATATCAAAAAGAATTTCTTCATCTTTCAATATTTGTTTCAGGCTTGGCCACTGATTGACATGATGGGTTTCAATTTACGGACCCACATGCAGTAACCACACGTTGGATAGGGATGAGTGAGTGATTTATTTACAACAGGACAAAATAAATCTATTTCCCGGACATCAGCGGAAGGGTGAGGACCACTCGACCAGGTTGGCCTGAAACGAGAACTTAGTTATGACGGGCTTAGAATGAGTGATCGGAGGGGAAACAGGAACAGGCTTACTTCGGTGCGGGTCTTTCGAGGCGTGGGTGTGAGATGCCAGGTTCCTGAGAGAGGGTGTGCAGCGGTTCCGAAGGTAAATGCGAGGGGAATGGAAGAGAGCTGGAACCTTGAAGGGTGGAGTGGAGGCAGTGGAATCGGCCGAGCGAACAGGCAGGTATTCACTGGTGAGTTCTCGAATGAGGCGACAAAACCCCTAGGATCGAACAAACACAGAGACCAGGTGACTTCTAGTAGACACAGAAACGTTCTCAGAAAAACTGTTCACAACAGGAGAGGCCAGAGTGACTACCGGTGTATGCAACCATCTAGCATACACCAGTAGAATCTTCAGTCAATCTAGCATAGACTGAAGATTCTGCTGCTCCTCCACCTGTGCCAAGCTCCACGGGCTCCTCACAAAGATCCTCGCTGAAATAAGATGCGACACTCACATACACACACAGGAACCCTGACACTGATGACTACTCTAGACCAACACAATAGCGGCAGATTGAAATAAACTCTGACATAACAAAACGCTTTAAAGTGTCACACAACAATTAAAAAAAGAATTTAAAAATATGAACTACAATGCCTTCATCCTATTTACAAAAAACCTTTTAGGCCCAATATACTGAAACCACATGGGCCCCATATAGTGTTCCCATTTCTGTCCCATGCCCAGTTAGCCCACGTTAATGCTGAATTGGGCCCATACATTTAACCCAATTGAGCCAACAATATGAGTCCCATTTCGGTTAACCTTTTGAGCCTCACGCAGTTGGCCCAGATAAAACCCATGCCCTCTTATCATTACCTATATAGCCCAAAGCTAAACGATTCAATGCAGTTTTATTGAAAAAAACGACAATAATAATCTTGCATCGGTCCCAGCCAAACCAGCCTGAATCCATACATGAGACCCACCCGTGCATGCTGATGTGACTGTGAGAAAGATTATTAAAAGCCCAAGTACATAGAATGAAAGCACAATAGTTACTCTTTTTAAATCATACAAATGGTTTTATTGTGTCCAGACACTTTGTAACAACCTCTGCTAGCAACATAGATTCTTCAGTGAACCGATTTCATTCTGCCTCGTTGGCGCTCAAATGAACCAATGGCAGCTCAACAAATAGAATGGCGGCGGTATTTGAAAATGGTTTGGCCCACAACGCTGCGTTTGAAATCGGTCTGCACTAAAATCTGCTTATTGTGTGTAGCTGTGTGTGTTAGCAATATCAGAAAAAGTATCACCCTAAAGAAAAGCAAAAATAACAATAACAATTAAGTCTCTTTTGGGATACTGTCGTCCGATTTGTTACGAGCAACAATTTTTTTAAAAAGCGATTTAAATCTCTCCCTAAAATTTGGTACTAGGTAAAACAGAAGAAATGTACTTACAGATTCTTTCGTAGATCAGCCAACAGGCAGACTCAGCGCCAACGGACTGATGAAGAGAACAGGCTTGATTTTGAAACCGCATATCCATCCGCGGGTTTTACGTTTTCCAAGAAACACAAGATTAATTTTTGAGAGTGCTACATCGGTTTAACAAATGTAAAACCGATGTAGCAAAAGTTCTCAATGTATAAATACATTTCGTTGTCCTCCTTATTCAAATATGTTTTGGAACTATTTTCTTCAGTGGATGTGTAAAGTGCCTACCGGTGCTTCAATTCACCAACCTTTATTGGCAACGGTGCATCAGAGCAAACAATGAACAAAAGGTAATTGGAACCAAATGAATCATTAACAGAAATGTTACGTTTTTTTATTATTTTTTTTTATTTATACTGATGACTTGGAAAATGTTTGCAAATATATGAAAAAACAGATGCTCAAAATTTTACTCTTGTCTCTCACTTGCTAATGAGTTTTGTTTATTTTCTAAACATTTTGTGATACTTTTCACAATGGTCTGATCTGAACTATTTGTCCAAATAAAAATTTAAATCTTGCTGCGAACAGGCTGCAGTAAACTCTATGGATGTCTAAACATCCAATTGATAAAAAATAATAATAATAAAATAAAAAGTTATTATTATTAAAAATAAAACAAGGACTAAAGCTCAACCATGACCACTCTGTGCTTAATTTTGAGTAAGCACCAGAATATGAGTTTACGTATATATTTCAAACAGATTATTTCAAAAAAATGTTTTAAGACATTCAGATTGCAATAATAAAATGAAAAAAAAGTTAGGGGTTCAAAGTGTAGCAAGAGCAATACTGAACTGGCTTTTGCTTTGACATACAGTGAAAAGTTTGAAAGTGACAGGGTAACCACATTGTCGATTAAAATGTTCTACAATTTTGTCCCATTTAGACCATGAAAAAAAGAACTAGGGGCTACATTTTCCTGCCCAGGTCCAACCCATGTATGGTTAGCCCATGCTCATGTCATGTTAGTTTTAATGTGGACAGCCCACATTGGGCTTCTCATGTGGGGCCCATGATACTGAAACCACATGGGCCCCAAATAGTGTTGCCCATTTCTGTCCCATTTCCAGTTAGCCCACATTGTTGCTGAATAGGGCCCATACATTTAGCCCAAATGGGCCAGCCCATAGGGGTCCCATTTTAGTTAACCATATGTATCCCATGAGGTTTGCCCAGATAAAACCCATGACCACTCATTACCCATATGGCCTACTACAAACCCAAGGGGGGCCCACTCATGCGTACTGGCTTGGAGACTGGACTGGACTGTTCTAGCATAAAATAATAACATGAAAAATGTTAAGGGTTCAAAGTGTGGCTAGAGCAATACTGAACTGGTTTAAAAAATAAGCATTGTAGAATTATTTTAATGTTTTAATATCCTGGTCCTCTGGAAGCCTAGTGTTTGTAAATGAGCCAGGCATAGATATCACACAGTGAACATGTTTTAGGTTCAAACATTAGGAAGACATGGATGTTCTGTTCTATCAGCAAAATATATCCTTGGGTGATCTCCAAGACGAGGTCACCTTCGTCCTGGAGACCTCGACAATGGTCAAGGTCACCAACCTTTACTATCGTCGAGGTTTCCTACAAGGAAAAAATTAAATTCTACAATTTACCTTACATCAACTCCATTAGAGGCCAGCTTGCCTTGGCAAAGACTATAAAGCTGACATCTCGGGTAATTCTTTCCAAGTTTTGAGAATCCTCTTGCAGCTTTTGCTTTGACATACAGTCAAAATTTTGAAAGTGACAGGTTAACTACAGGGGTTGGACAATGAAACTGAAACACCTGGTTTTAGACCACAATAACTTATTAGCGTGGTGTAGGGCCTCCTTTTGAGGCCAATACAGCATCAATTCGTCTTGGACAAGTATGGGGCCAAGGGAATGCCATGATATGGCAGCCCACACCATCAATGATCCACCCCCATGCTTCACTCTGGCATACAACACTCTGGCTGGAATGCATCTTTGGGGCTTCTCCACACCGTAACTCTCCCGGATGTGGGGAAAACAGTAAAGGTAGACTCATCAGAGAACAATACATGTTTCACATTGTCCACAGCACAAGATTTTCGCTCCTTGCACCATTGAAACCGACGTTTGGCATTGATACGAGTGACCAAAAGTTTGGCTATAGCAGCCCGGCTGTGTATATTGACCATGTGGAGCTCCCGACGGACAGTTTTGGTGGAAACAGGAGAGTTGAGGTGCACATTTAATTCTACCGTGATTTGGGCACCGTGGTTTTATGTTTTTGGGATACAATCCGGGTTAGCACCCCAAACATCTCTTTGAGACAGCTTCGTCTTGCATCCACAGTTAATCCTGTTAGATGTGGTTCGTCATTCTTGGTGGTATGCTGACATTACCCTGGATACTGTGGCTCTTGATAATCACAAAGACTTGCTGTCTTGGTGAACAATTTGCCCTCTTTTGAACTCCAGTATGTCCCAAATAATGTTATGTGCATTGCAATATTTTGAGCAAAACTGTGCTCTTACCCTGCTAATTGGACCTTCACACTCTGCTCTTACTGTTGCAATGTGCAATTCATGAAGATTGGCCACCAGGCTAGTCCAATTCAGGCATGAAACCTCCCACACTAAAATGAGAGGTGTTTCAGTTTCATTGTCCAACCCCTGTACATTGTTCTACAATTTTGTCTCATTTAGCCCACTTAAAAAAGGACTGGGGTCTACATATCCACACCCAGGTCCAACCAGGGCGTGGATATGTACTGACCACACTGAACCCACAGTGGGTTCAGTGTGGTCAGCCCACATGGTCTCCCCATGTTGGGCCCATGACATGAGCCCATGCTCATGTCATGTGGGTTCAGTGTGGTCAGCCCACATGGTCTCCCCATGTTGGGCCCATGATACTGAAACCACATGGGCCCCACATAGTTTTGCCCAGTTCTATCCCATTCCCAGTTAGCCCAATTAAAAAAGGACTGGGGCCTACATATCCACACCCAGGTCTAACCCATATATGGTCAGCCCATGCTGATGTCATGTGGGTTCAATGTGGTCTGCCCACATGGGCTTCCCATGTTGGGCCCATGATACTGAAACCACATGGGCCCCACATACTGTTGCCCAGTACTATCCCATTCCCAGATAGCCCACTTAAAAAAGGACTGGGGCCTACATATCCACACCCAAGTCTAACCCATATATGGTCAGCCCATGCTGATGTCATGTGGGTTCAATGTGGTCAGCCCACATGGGCTTTCCATGTTGGGCCCATGATACTAGAACCACATGGGCCCCACATACTGTTGCCCAGTACTATCCCATTCCCAGATAGCCCACTTAAAAAAGGACTGGGGCCCACATATCCACACCCAGGTCTAACCCATATATGGTCAGCCCATGCTGATGTCATGTGGGTTCAATGTGGTCTGCCCACATGGGCTTCCCATGTTGGGCCCATGATACTGAAACCACATGGGCCCCATATACTGTTGCCCAGTACTATCCCATTCCCAGATAGCCCACTTAAAAAAGGACTGGGGCCTACATATCCACACCCAGGTCTAAACCCATATATGGTCAGCCCATGCTGATGTCATGTGGGTTCAATGTGGTCAGCCCACATGGGCTTCCCATGTTGGGCCCATGATACTAGAACCACATGGGCCCCACAT